TCTAGGCAGGGCAGGTAGGTTCCCACAGAAGTGGGCATAAGGACTGCAGCCAGTGCTTGACATCTCTAGTAAATTAATTTCATGCTGAAATTAAGTCATTAACTAGCTACCTATAGGTAGCCCATGGGATTCTTGTTGGTCATCACCTTTTATGACCATGCTACACAGACTTCTGATTGAAATAAGAATTCTGTTACTATTGCTGCTTGGGTTGAGGTATTTTCAACTTCTTTTAGAATCTTCCCAAGATAGTCCTCTCCCTCTAGCTCTAGATTGTGCTCTACTCCTTGATTCCTAACTAAAGGACCTTTCCCTTTGAAGGTAACGTTTACTAAGCACTATGCATGTGACCTTACACACATTCTCTTCATCCTTCCATTGGTTCCCAGGACCCAGGAAACCCTACCCTTATCCCTAACATGTTTCCCTTTATTTTCTGGCTTGAGGTGTACACTGGACAGTAAATACTGGTTTTACCCTTTGATGAATCTTAGTACCTTTACCTATTTTCATCCAAACTGGAGTCTGATTTTATACTGTGATCTTATTTGGAAAAAACTGACCATTTGAAATTTCTGATTCCACAATTTAAAACAAAACAAAACAAAACAATCCATGATTCCAATGTGACTACCTCTCATGAGGCTCACCTAAAAATGAATAAACAGATTGCTCCTTCATGCATGAAAGAGGGAGATCTTTAATAGATCAAAACATCATCACAAGTATTAATCCTGGGATTTAAGCTAAATAACTATATTTAGTTCTTAAAATGGGATCAATAGTATTTAAGTATGACCTTTGCTCTAAACACACATGAATCACTGAAAGAGAAACTGGTTTTTCATTGCCAGTGTTGACAAAGCCTTAAGCAACTCTTGGAAGTTTGTCAGAGGTATAATCATAAATTCCTTTTCTATAAAAGCATTTTTTTAGAATAACAATATAGTGTTCCTGGCTCTATTACTATTGCTAGAGAAAACAGAACAAGAGTACTATCTGAAAAGGAATGGAAGAGAAGAAGAGCAGGTACCAAAAAGGTTAATGTTGTTTTGTATCAAACATATCAGTTTCTAATTATAATTCTATCATCATTTTTTCCTCGTGAGAGATAAATATGGATGCTACCAAGAGTTTTTCACTTGGTTCAAGGTCACTTTATCTCTAACAACAGTTATAATTTTTAATAATTTCAATATCCACAGAGATGGTTCTCCATTAAGCTGGCCTTTCAGTTCTTTGACTCCCTTTCCTACAACTGTGTTCTCTGCTCTGCTTCAAATACTTAATCCCATGGTTTCCTAGAATTGTCTTTCCTGTAACTGCTCTCCTCCACCTGAATACTTGTTGCACGTGGGTCACCGGCCAGCAGTGACCACGGAACGCTGTGGATGGCTCGACGATAAACACGCGAGAAAAAACACATACACAGAGACAGACTAGTTTCTGTGGAGAAGTAGGGACGAAATGGCCACCCCCCCTAGTGGGGAGCGCGCCGATTTACAGTCCATACCTGCTTTTATTAGGCTCATTCTGCATAATAATTCAGGTAAAGTACAGTACTCATTAGGGGGAAGAAAGGAACCATAGAAAACAAAGAATTCTGCTGGTCTATTGAGTTGGGGGTCAAAGAGCTGTAAGACTGAGGAACAAAGTAACTTCCTCCTAAGACCCTTCTCATTCAACTGAGAGCATTCTAAACAAAGAAGGTTTCACAGTAATTTACATGTTCTTTCTTAGGCCTGATCACCCCGGGGAATCCGCACTTCTCAGTACCGAGCTGCACCACCCTGTCATTGTTTCAGGCTTAGGTGGAGCAAGGGAACTAAGGCAACTGGGAGACAAGGAGGTTTTTTCCCCAGACGCTGAGAACTCAGGCTATGTCAGAGCCGAGGAGCGAGGGTCCATCACCCCCCTTTTGCTGCAGCCCCCCCCAAGTCCTTCTTTTGGGGGGGTCTCCCAAAGTGATCGTGCCTGTCTTAGGTCGTTCCCCCCCATGGGGAATCTTACCCGTCTTTGGCTAACCGACCAAGCTTTTTGGGGTTCAGTTATTAATAAAGCAGCAGAAGCAGCATTCCTGCCAGGAAGATAAGCTTTTGTCTCCTTGCTGGCTTACAGTTCCAAGGGCGTTCCCTTAGCCTTAGCCTTAGCCTTAGCCTAGGCGGGGGTTTCAGCTTCTGATACCAGTCAGGGCGGTTCCCAACAAATACTACCCTGTATCTTTTCAGCTCATCCTCTCCTATATTTCAGTTCCACTAATTTTTCAAACTCACCAGGCATGTTGATGCATTGAACCTCTGCACTGTCCCTCATCACCTCACATCTCAGTCCCAGAAAGTTTGAGGAAAGAGGAAATAGTCTGTACTTACACAATTTTATATTCTTTCCTCAAATTTCCAACACTTCCTCACTCTCTGCTAATAATCTTATTTCCTATTCCATTGAGAAATGGAAATAACCAGAGGAAAACCTCCAACTAGTCCCTCCATCACATCTTCTAAACTATTGGCATCAGAATTCATAAACTCTTACTTTCCCAGCAGCTAGGATCTTCTGCTCAGGAATGTATGCATATATATATATATATATATATATATATATATATATATATATATATTTTAACTCCAAAGGATTCACAGACCTATCTTAAGTTTATTTAAGAGCCCCAGGTTAAGAACCAATCAAAAAAACAGTTTGCTTTAATGTCATATTACCAAGGTTAAAGGATGGTCGCAAGAGACAAAGGAACATTGGGAGGATATTTAATTTATCTCACCTAAAAATGGTATAAGTTTTGTGGAGCAGTATCCAATTAAATAGGTATATATTGAGAGCTGATTCCATGCCTACCACTGGGCAAAATTTAGTAGAAGAAAGGTTGTTCGGTATGATGTCAAATATCACCCTATAAATTACTTCTTACTTGCAAAGGCAAAAATATACCTTTCTTTAACCAGGGAAAAAACTGTCAGCACTTTAATCAAATGATCGAATTTATCATCACAAGTAATCTGTCACACCTGACATTAAACACCTCCTAATGTTATGCAATATAAATTACACAGTATATCCTAGGAAGTATTCTTCCCAAACATGTTAAATCTCAATTACTCAGGCCTCATGTAACTTGCATTTTATAGGAAATACAAGGTCTGGAAAAAAATAAACACAATTTTAAAACTCAGAACTAGGGCATTCTTCTGGACAACTGGCTTGGTTTTGGAATAAAAAAAAAAAATCAGCGCTGTGAAGTAACTCAGTTGGAGCAGTGTTCAGATAAGTCACTGGGGCAAAGGGCAACCAGTGAGTCAATGAGTAGGTAGAGCAACAGGCCCATGTTTATCTCTGTCTCTCTAAAACCAGCAAATGAAATTTTTTTAGTCAAAATTATTTGAGGGGGAGTAAGGATTAAAAGTTTTCGGTTAAGAGTCCAAAGATAGTTAAAACCTAACTGCAAGAGGCAATCATTGATAGGATCCTGGTTCAAAAGCAAACTATTATAAATCAAATCTTCACTTAATGTCACCAATAGGTTCTGCGACTTTAGGTAAAATGAAGTATAACAAAATCATAGGCTAATTGAGATAAACAAGAGTTAAGTTCCCACAACAACCCATCTTTAACATTATAACAAAACATTATTTAAGGACTATACATACAAAAGGCACTCGGTGGATAATTGGGGAAATCTAAATATTGACTGGATGTTAAATGATATTAGAGAATAACCTAATTTTCTTAGGTGTGATAAAGGGTTTGTGGTTATGAGAACAATATCCTCACAGGAGATATATAGCAAAAGTATTTAGAAGTGAAGTGTCTTGCTGTGTACAACTTATGGTTCTGACAAAAACAAAAACAACCACACACACATATGTAAACACAAATATACAAATAAAACAAATATGACAAATAATAATTTTTAAATCCACATGATGGGCATGTGGGTAATTCTGTACTTTTTTGTTCATTTTTTTGTTTAAAATGTTTACAGTTAGAAATTGGAAAAAAGACTTGTGTAGCCGAAACCTACCCATCTTTAACAGTCCATTTTGTGTTTTTTTCACCTCTTTGAAGGCTTTCTTGCTGATTGCATGACAGTTCTCTTTTCTGAATTCCTCTGGTACTTTTACTATGAATTTAGCATTTAACTTTCTGCCTTGTACCTATTCTGAATAAATACATCATAAATTCCCAGATAACAAAGTGTAAGGTTCTTGCAGGGTAGTACAAAAACAAGCTATATTTGAATGAGATTATGGCCCGCTTATAGTGGGCAAAAAGGATTGTGAAATTGGTAGCAAAATTTAGGTGTGAGTGATGAGAGCCTAAAGTAGGACAGTAGCAAGAAAATGGAAAATCCTGGGGATCGTGGGAAATATTTACATTCCTGGCTTTCTTTTGAGGTTTTCATTAGCTTTCACAAGATATATCCAAACCCGGACAGCTTTACAAATCCCCGAGCTTTGTAACTTCAACAGCTCTCCTCCCAGAACTCAGGATCAAATTGGAAAAGAGGGTGACTTTAAGCAGAATTCTTCAGGCGGACATTGACTTCCAACATTCTTTGGCTGAGCCAACTTTATTTAGACAGGCTTACGTCGTACCCTTATTTCCAAGGACATTCTCCACAACCGTGCGCGTAGACAGTAATAAATAGCCTCGGTAATATTTGGAAAGGTCGTATCAGCCAACGTGATTAAATTACCTTGCTTGTTTAACTTTCTGAAGCCCTAAACATTCTTTTGCTTTAGGTCCAGCGTTTGAGAGTAAAGTGTATTTTGATTCACTAAAGCAGAAACAATTTGGGTTTGGCAGGTTTCCCCAGATAAATAAAAGGTTGAAGCCCCAGCAGACCTTTCCACGCTAAGCCCCCAAACGAGGGCGGAGGGCGCGGCCTCTCACCCAGATTCCCCGCGGGCCGTGGGCCCCTGCCACTTCCTCCCATCCCTAGGCGCATGCTCGCTCTCCCAGGCCCCAGACTCCCACTGCCAAGCCGCCTTCAGGGCTCCAACGCCCTGCTGTCAGCCTCAGCTTCCCCCAGGAGGGCGCCGTTTGTGAACTCAGAGAATCAGACGGAAGCAAAGTCTGTCCGAGGACCACCCGGCCCCTACAAGTCAGGTCCAAGAAACGCGTTAAACTCCGTCCCAAGGCCGCAGGGACAGAGTAGATGAAGACACGGAGCGAGCTTACGTTTAGCTAAGCCGTGCACGCAGCTCCTCCAGTCCTTTCCCTCCCACTGTCTTCTTTGGTTATTCCACCCCCCTCTTCCGCCCCTCCCACTTGTATCGCGGCGGGCTGGGTCGTCTGCGCCCGCCCTCTGAGTTCTGGCTGTACGGAGTGGTTGAAGGACAGTGCTCAGACGGCGAATCAACATGGCAGCGTTGTTTAGGCGAAGCTGCGGGGTGAGCAGGAAAACAGGGCTGGGTGTGGCTGGGGAAGTTGGGGTGTTTGGGGAATGGGCTTGGGCCGGAGATTGGCGTGGCCGGGGGACGTCGGGTGGGGAACCGTAGTGTGAAAGGAGCCTGCCTCAGGTCCTCGGTCCTCTCGGTACTTGACCTTTGCCTGTGGGCGAGGATTCCGGACTCTAGCCTTGCTTTCAGGCCCACCTCCTCCTCTCACTTTGGGACAGGATACTTCCCAGGTTTTGCTGGGCATCTGCCCCCTCCATATCGTGGCGTCCAGGTTTTAGAATGTATTTTTATTTCCCTGGTCTGGAACCCTCCACATATTTTCCCCAGTAATCCCATCCTTTTCTGAACTGAACCTGTCTCTGAATCCTGTTTTTGCTGTTGAGAAAACGCTGTCTAGCAGCTGTCTATCCCCAGCCCAAGAAGAGAATCTTAAAGTAAATGTCATTCTGCAATTGATGTACACTAGGAAGTGGAGAATTCAGATAGTCTTACCTTGGGGCCTTCAAGTCACGGGGAAAAGGAAAATGGAGCAGCAGCTCTTTGGGATACTTAATACGTTTAACACGCTTTTGGTTTTGCAATATGTTTCCATATGACATACATTTAAAAAAAAGAAAAATCTGCAGAATTCTCCTTGAAGTTTGTCTGTGTATATTCTAGTGTTGTGTTGCATATTCTAAATTGTCTTAGTCACTAAATGCATTTTGCTATCTTAAATATTATTGATACAGTTCCCACAAGACTGCCACTAAAATGTCATTTGTAATTGAGTTCCAAAACTCAAATTGAGTTCCAACTTTCATGACCAAAAAAGTAGCAGTGTTAGAATAATTTCAGTGGGTTGTTGCCCCATATTTGTCATTGCCATATGAGTTAATGAGCTCTGAAGACAGAAATTGGGGGATTTCTTAAATGATTTTTAACTCTGATATCAGTAAAAAACAGATTCCTTAGTCTGTTCAAGGAAGGATATAGAAAAACCTGATCTAGAAGATACCCCTGTATCTCTTCTTTGACATTCCTGTGAAGCTAAGAATATTATATATCCCTCAGAAATAATACAAAACTATTTTTGTATTTTGTATTATGTATTATGCTATTGTTGCAGAGTTGATGCTTGATTAAAGTTGCTGTCTTTTGGAGATTTGGAATTCTGTGGTTCTGGGCAGAGAACCTAAAGTAATACATTCAGTATGGCACTAGGCTTCCAAGAAATTACCCTATTTTAATCATCTCGACAGGTGATAAATCCTTTTCTTTTTTTAAAATTATATTTTATTGATTATGCTATTGCAGTTGTCCTGATTTTTCCCCCTTTGCTGTCCCTTCACCCAGCACTCCCTATTCGCTCTGGCAATACCCACACCATTGTTCATGTTCATGGGTCCTGCGTATAAGTTCTTTGGCTACTTCATTATCATTTATCATAAATGTCCACCCTCCGTGGAGGCTCAGCTGTGCAGGGGCAGAGTGGTGGTGTTCCCACATGATCCATAGCTGTCCACTGGGTGCACTGGCCCTGGTGTTTCACAAGTGGTCTAGGCCACGTTCTGCCCCAACCTCTGGTTTACTCCAGGCCACCCTGCCTAAGCTGTAAAGCAGTCTGAGATGGCTGGTACTGGTGCTGAGCTCGAAGATTCTAAGGCAAAGCCAAGCTGTGAATTGAGACAGCTGCTAGTGCTGTTGCCAGCGGTTACCATATAGCCAGCTGTTGCTTGTTTGAGAGGATTTAGGAAGCTGTGAAGCATGAGACCAGACCAGCCATTCATAGGAAAAGCAGGTTGGGTAGGCCTGTAAGTCGGTTGTGGCTGAGTCTCTGGGGATCTCCAAGGCAGGTCACACAGTATTAGCCTTTTTGATGGAGTCTCAAATATGGCACCAGCTTGCTGGCTCTGTGAGGGAAGGGTTTTGAAAAGAGACAATGGCCTCTGCTTGCCTTGATGCCAGATACTTCAGTTTCTCCCTATATACTACTGGTGCCTTTCAAGCTGCTGCCCCATTGCTGGTGTTCAGAGGGAGTGAGCTGAGTAGGTAGGTCCATGTGTGGGTTCTTTAAGAGGAACTGCTTGTGGTTCCAGCATTTTCTTCCACCAACTCAATCTCTGTTGGTTTTTGCAGCCAGAAGTTGTAGGGACTTATGTTCCTGGTTCTGGAACCCCAGGCTGGGGGTGTTTTGTGGGGCTGGAACTCCTTGCTCTCAAGATAATCCCTTCGAATTTTTATCTACCACACATGGGTGAGGAACTAGCCCATTCCATATCTGCACCTCTCCTACCAGTCTGGATAGATGTGGTTTCTTTAATTCTGTAGTTGTCACACTACCATTGAAATTGATTTCTGATGGTTCTGAGTGATGGTGGTTCTATATTTTAGGTGTAATTTTGGTGTGATTGTGCAAAGAGGTGAGCCATATATGCCTATGCCACCATCTTGACTGGAAGTCCCGTTCTATAATCCCTATTCATACCCTATTTTCCAGGTTTTAAAGTAGCTACAAGTTTGTGACCAATTCAAGATATCAAAAATATTGTATAATCTTGACTCAAATTCAGTTTGAGTTTAGTTAGCATTTCTAAGTTCAAATCCTGTACTATTTCTATATCAATGTCTACGAAGCCACCTGTCTAATTAAATGGCTAACATTAGTATATAATTAACAGGTCACTGGACAGTGTTCCTTGGATGTAGCTACTACCTTTCCCAAAAAATCACATTAACTTTTTGTAAATTATTTTAAATCTAATATACCCTGTTTAATGTCTCTCAAAATATTATTGTACTTTTTTTTGGTGAGGCCTAATTTTTGTGTAGTGGTGTCTGAACACACATTGAGAATAGTTAGCTTTTTTGGTCTGATTGTTGTGGCATATTTTTCTTCTCTATAGAACCTAATGACCAGTTAGGAGACTTGAAACTGAAAGAGTGGTTTAGCGAGGTGATTGGTGGCATGGGATCTTGGTAGTAAATGTTAGAGTTAGAATCTTGGTTCCACCACATAATAGCTGAGCAACTTTAGCCAATTTTACTTGACCTTTCTGAACCTCAGTTTCTTCATGTGCAAAATAGGAATAAATATAGTGCCTTAATCCTAGGTGTGACCTGGATAATCAATCAGTTAACTAATATGTGAATATGACTATAAATAAAAATAGGTTTGGTCTGTGATAACTAGATAATGAGGGTTAGAGAAACCACATTTTACTTTCAAAATCAATGAAAATTGCAAAGAAATGTGAATTTTCATACTCTGTGTAATTACTTTTTCCAAATTGTATAAAGTATGTTGTTATTTTGAAAGGGCACTTTAAATCAAGATATTTGACAGTGTTTATTGTCACTTCAAAGGTAGGTGATACTCTATAGCCTAAAGTTTCATCTACAAAGTGGACAGTTTCTTTTTACAGATTTTGAAAAACATAAGCAAGTTCAGTTCTTGATCTTTTAGTATACTGTTCAGTTTTTCTTTCTAACTTACTAGAATTGCTGAGGATTAGCTCTTTCAGAATCTAGTGAAATATAAATTATATAACTTTGACCATCCCCAGACATTTCTCAAGAGTTATATGGTTTTCAGTTCAGTAATTTTAGTTAATATAGGTGATTAGTTTTGTTTACGAACTGTCATGAGTATAAAAATAGATTGCAAAGGAATATTAAGTGTATATCTGATTATATTTTTAACATATCCCTTTGAAGAAATACGAGTATTAGGGTGGGACAAAAGTAAGTTTATAGGTGTGAGTACATGAAACACAATTTATTCTTGTTTTATTTATTGTATATGTTTTCCATACAAACAACTTTAAATCTACTTTTTCCCCGCCCTGTATTTCAGATATTAAGACAAGTAGTATATTAACAGTTTAGAACAGAATTGGCAAACTTAAATGTTAAAGGGACGGATAGTAAATTTTGGCTTGTGGACCATGTTGTCCCTGTGGCAACTCTATAACTTTTGTGTGGAAGCAGCAATTGACAATGCGGTGTGTCTGTGTTCCAATCAAATGTAATTTATGAACTTGGTGGCTACCATAATGTGCTGACCCCTGGCTTTGACCATTCTAAGAATGCTTATAGACAACAGCAGAAAATAAAGAACATGGTTTTAGGCTACTTTGTTTTGTGAAATAGAGTGAGGTATATTAGAAAATGAGATCCTCCAAGTGGAAGATTCCCAGAGGCATACCTGGGAGGCTCACAGGGACAGGGCATCAAAGTCGGTGGACTGGGCAACTCTTGCACACAGTACAATACCATGCTCTTGTTGCCATAACCTCCACAATCACAAGTATCCTAGAGTTTGTAAGTAAAATATCCAGAATAGTGGTTCTAAGTCTGCTACTACTCCTGACTGTTATTTGCCTTGGAAGCACTCCTCCTTACTAGTGTAAATACTACTGATTAGTTTTATTTTCATTGTTTAAAAGAAAACATTGCCTTTTTGATAGGTGTTCAAAAATTGGCTTATTTAACATACAAATCAAATTATAGTTGAAGACGCTTAAGTAATGACTCAAAACACTCTGCTAGTGGTCAGACAAGTTGCTGTAGTCACTTGTAATTGTCAGGATTCTCTTATTCGATTATTGTTTAATTTATCAAATTAATTTTAATAAAATTGTTCTTTACAGGTCCTGAGAAATCTTTCTCGTTTTGACTGGCGATCACAACATACAAAAGCCGCCATACAACGTGAACGAGGATTGGGGTTTAGTTTTGGTATATGTTTTGTTCTGACTTTAAACTTGAATTTATTATATATATGCACCTTTATATATGTATTTGTCTGGAATATGTTTATCTAAGAAAATTTGGTAATGTCTGTCAGTGAATAGAATTAGTCACCATCCACAGATGGTCCACAGTTAGTCACACCCATTCTTCCTGATCTCGATTTTTTCCTTTAAGCATAATTACCTACCCATAGGTCTATGTTAGCATCATACAGATATTTTTGCCCTGCTTTCTAAGTATGTAACACAAAATAAATAACAGAATTACTGATACATATGAGTAGTCTTTAAATTAGAAATTTGAGTGCAATAAATACTTCTTAAACATTTATTAGATAAACAATGTTAGGTGCCTGCTAATAAGCCAAAGCCTGTTTGGCCACAATATGCCTGAACTGCAGTTTTGGTGCTAGTTGATGTTGTTTTTAGTTCTTAGACCAGGGATCCATGTGGTATTGGAGTGAAAAGGAATATGATTACCCTTTCCTCTAAAATAAAGATCCTGGGCAAAAAGTTTGAAATAATAATTCCTGCCTTTGGCATCCTTTCCTTCCTAAAGTGCTTCTTCTTTAAAAATTATTATGATACCTTTCCCCTAGTTAAAAAAAACATTTTTCCATTCACTTGGACTCAGAAAGTAGTTAAAAGGCAGCTAAGATAATTAACTCACACCCAGGTAAGAAAAACAAACTCAGAGCTCTATAGGCTTATTATTTTTGTTTTTTGTTATTTTTAAGATTGTTAGCTTCTTTATAAAGTTTTTAAAAATAGAATTAAATGAAAATTTTCCAGTGTTGTGAGGACAGCAGTTTGGGGCACTGGACATTACTAACTCCTTGTTCAGATATTGGCATAGGTATGGTTTGATTGCTCTCTGGTTTGTCACTTACAGATTGTAAGAGTCAAGCAGCAGAAATCTGTGGTGGTTTGCTGAATGACAGAGGATAGAACAGATACAAGAATTTAGGAGGAGATTGTGAAGCTCAAGTAAAGTAATAAGGATAACATATGACTAGTTATATTTGGTTCTTTATCGGTGAAATGTGAACAATAGTTACAACACAGGATTTATTTGAAGATTAAATTTATATGTAAAGTCTCTAGCACATAGTAGTGGCTGGACCAAGGTAGGCTCTCAATAATAGATCTTTGCCTTTCCTACTGTTTTCCCACACATAACCTTGATATGGACTGGTCCCAGTTTTGTTTGTTAATTTTTTAAATATTTTATTTATTTTTAGAGCAAGGGGAAGGGAGGGAGAAAGAAAGAGAGAGAAACATTGGTCAGTTGCCTCTGTGAGCAAAACATCAATCCATTGCCTCTCGCACACCCCCAGCACACCCCAAGCCAAGGGCCTGGCCAGCAACCCAGGCATGTGCCCTTACTGGGAATCAAATCGGTGACCTTTCAGTTTGCGGAACAAGGCCCAGCCCACTAAGCTACACCAGTCTGGGCCTAACCCCACTTTTAGAAGTAAAGATAAAGATAGAGAACTATGAACTTACACTCTAAGTATATTTTCATTGCTAATTTTACTGTAAATCTATGGGGCTATCATTTCTTCATTTTGGGGATTTTATTTTCTTGCCTATAAAATGAGGTTTGAATTTAGGCTGTTCAATTCAGCACCAGAATTCTAGTGTCTGTTACATTTTACATCTTACATCCCTATAAAAATGATTATTATAATCTTAAACACTCTTGCTCATTACTACCTCTGTGCTTTTGCCCTCCTTCTTCTTGCCCCAAATACCCTATATCTCTTTTAAATTTTACCTGTCCTTTGAGATTGGATGTAACCACATTAAAACCCAGTGATAGTGTGGGTTTGAAAAAATGCAGTAGCGATTGGCCCCTCTCCTCAGTCCAGGCACCATATTCACGTCACTAATTTTATAATAACACAACCCCATATTTTATGTAATTCCATTGTTTAGACATCACTTCCAGCATTACAGCAGAGTTTTATGTCATTACTTTACGAGACACTTTTCTACTACTTTTACCAGTTGCTTTTTGCTGATTTATAAATTTAAAATTCTGTGTTTAAAGGAGGAGTAAAATTGAAGCTAAGATATTGATATTTTTATGTGATATTTTAGAATAAGTTTTATTAGTTTGTGGTCACTAAGAATATCCCATTTCCCTAGAAAGATTGATTTTTGATACCAGGGCATGTCTTATGTAGTTTTATTTTGTTGTTAAACATTTCATAAATCTGCCTAGGAAGTAGTTAATTTTTTTTTTTTTTCAATTTAGACCTCACCAAGTAGAAGAGAAAAGCCCAAGTTTTTATCTGTTACTTAACTTATAAAAGCTAGAAATCTTACCTGCCTCCTTTGGCATAGATATATATTGTAGAGTGAAATCTTGATTAATTAGAAAGTGCATTTGTAGTCTTTGACTTTATGGTTAATAAAAGGTTAAAATCTTTAGTATAAGCATAAATTTCCACATACTCATTCCATAGGTCTTTTTCCCTCATGTCATTGTCCTATTTTGATGTTTTCTAAATAACTTTCCCTTAGAGTTGACTGAACAGCAGAAAGAATTTCAGGCTACTGCTCGTAAATTTGCCAAGGAGGAAATAATCCCAGTTGCTGCAGAATATGATAAAACTGGCGAGGTGGGTATATACATTAAAAAAAATATATTTCTCAGTTGCAGTTGACATATGATGTTATATTAGTTTTAGGTGTATACCCTAGTGATGAGACATTATATAACTTAAGTGATCACTCTAATTATTCTTGTACTCATCTGATACTATATATAGTTATTAGAATATTATTAACTATATTTCCTATACTGTATTTTACATCCCCCGACTATTTTGTAACTGCCAATTTATGATTCTTAATTCTTTTACCTTTTTCATCTATCCCCCCTTCCCCCACCCATCTGTCAATCATCAAAATGTTCTCTGTATCTATGAATCTGTTTCTGTTGTGCTTGTTCGTTTATTTTCTAAATTCAGTTGTTGATAGATATGTATTTATTCCCATTTTATTGTTCATATTTTTATTATCTTTTTTTCTTCTCAAAGAAGATCCTATAACATGTACTGGTTTGGTGGTGAACTCCCTTAGCTTTTTCTTGTCTGGGGAGCTCTTTAAGTATAATTTGATTCTAAATAACAGCTTTGCTCAGTAAGTAATCTTGGTTGTAGGTCCTTGCTTTTTATCATTTTGAGTATTTCTTGCCAATCCCTTCTGGCCTGAAAAGTTTCTGTCAAGAAATTAGTTCACAGTCTTTTTAATGTTCACCTGAGGGCGTTTTTTTCATTGCTTTTAGAGATAGATGAAGGGGGAGAGTGAGAGAGAGAGAAACATTGGTGTGAGAGGAAACATAACTGGTTGCCTCTTAATGTGAGCCCTGACCAGGGATCAAACCTGCAACCTAGGTATGTGCCCTGACCAAGAATTGAACCTGTAACCTTTTGGTATACCAGACAATGCTCCAAGCAACTAAGCCACACTGGCCAGGGCTCAGGTGACAATCTTATGGGAACTCCCTTATAGGTAATTAATTGCTTTTCTCTTGCTGCTTTTAGGGTTCTCACTTTGTCTTTAACCTCTTGCATTTTAATTATGATGTGTCTTGGTGTGGGCCTCTTTGGGTTCTTATTGTTTGAGTCCTAGACTTGTATTTCTATTTCTTTCACCAGTTTAGGGAAGTCTTGTATCATATAGGTTTTCAATCTCACGCTCTCTCTTTTCTCCCTCTGGCATCCCCATTATGAGAATGTCAGTATGTTTGAAGTTGTCCCAGAGTCTCTTTCCACTCTCCTCTGTTTTTTTTGTACGTTTTCTTTTTGCTTTCCTTATTGAGCATTTCTTTATATTCCAAATCGCTGTTTTGAGTGTTGGCTTCATCTACTCTACTGTTGATTCCCTACAAATTATTCTTCATTTCAGTTAGTGTATCCTTCATTTCTGACTGGTCTTTTTTTATGATGGTTTGCATGTCCTTTTTTTATGCTGCTGAAATTCTCTATAAATTCATCTACTCTTTCCCCTAAGTTCATTGAGCATCCTTACAACCAGTGTTTTCAACTCTGCATCTAGATTGCTTGTGTCCATTTTGTTTAGTTCTTTTCTGGACTTTTGTTCTGTTGTTTCATTTGGGGCCATGTTCCTTTGTCTCCTCATTTTGGCTGTCTTCCTGTGTTTGTTTCTATGTATTAGGTAGAACGGCTGCGTCTCCTGGGCTTAGTAGGGTGACCTTATATAGAAGATGTCCCATAGCATCCAGTAGTACAGCCCTCCCATTCACCTGAGTTATGCACTCCAGGTGCCTACCTCCCCGCCCCATGTGGGCTTTATATACCCTCCTCTTGTAGTTGAGATTTGATTGCTATTGGCACATCAATGGGAGGGAAATTTACCCCCTGGTCAGTTGGCTAGAAGACTGGCTGTGACCACTGTGGAGGATCAGCTGTGCAGTTGCCCATCCCACCAAGCAAGACTTACTTCAGTGGGCCACTTGAGTGTGTCACTTGTGGAGGTGGTTGAGTGGTGCTTCAATGTGGTCTGAAACTGTACACGTGGTGCACTGGTTCTGAGGCCTCTGGGAGATACAAGCCAAGGTCAGCCATCACCTATGTTCTGCCTGGGGCCACCTGGCATAACCTACAAAGTGATATGCAAATGGCTGCTACTTGTGCTGGCCTTGGAGGTGCCCACAAGCAGCCAGGCTGGGAACCAAGTCTGGCTACTGCTAGTGCCAGGGCTGGTATACTTAGTGAGAGGTACGGGGCATGGTGAGGCCAGATGCTGCTTGTCTGAGAGATCATAGGAAAGTTTGGACCATGAGTCAAGACTAGCCACTGGTATGGAAAAGTCACTGGAAACAGTGTAGGTGGGCCTGCAGGTTGGATGGGCAGGGTCCCAGGGTATGACTAGGGCAAGGCACACAGTTTATGGAGACTCAGATACAGAGCCCTCCTGCCTGCTTTGTGGGGAAAAGGCTCAAAAACGGAGCAGTGGCCTCTGCCAGCAGTTCTATCTGGAGGAAGGTTTCCCTTCCAGCTCTCTCCACAATGCCAAGCAGTTCAGTTTCTCCCTGTATGTCCCTGGTGCCTTTCTAGCTGCTTCCCCTGGTGCTGGAGCTCAGAGTGAGTGAGCCCAAGTAGGTCCATGTACAAGTCCTTTAAGAGGAACTGCCTAGGACTCCAGAAGCCCTCCCATCTCCCTCAGCCACAATCCCTGCTAGATTTTACAGCCAGAAATTATGGGGACTTGTTTTCCAGGCACTGGAACCCTGGGCTGGGAGGCCTGGTATGGGGCTGGGACCCCTCGCTCCTCAGGGGGCACCTCCAAGGCCTTGATATCCCTTCTGATTTTTATCTGCCACACTTGGGTGTGGGTGTGGAAGCAGCCCCTTCCCCATCTCCACTGCTTCTTTCAGTCTTGATGTGCTGCTTTCTTTGAATCTGTACTTGTAGGACTTCCTTCTGCTAGATTTCAGGTGGTTCTGAATGGTGGTGATTATGTAATTTAGTTTTAATTTTGATGTAATTTTGGGAGGATGGAACTACTGCATTTACCTACACCTTTTTATTTTGATGGGAAGCCTCTATGCATTTTTAGGAGAGAAAAATCTTTTACATTTTTGCAAGACTACATAATCAAATATCTAGATTTTTAAATGTAACTGGCTATCTTTAATGTTTTTTTCCTTTAGTACCCTGTCCCCATAATTAAAAGAGCCTGGGAACTTGGTTTAATGAATACACACATTCCAGAAAGTTGTGGTAAGCTCTCTTCACATTTTTAACCCAGAAATGTATAGGAACAAGAAAAAATTGTGAAACTCTACTCATTCTTTTGAATATTTATTGCCATTAAATATTGGCTTTCTACCTTTGTCTTCCTGTGCAGAGTTCAGTATTTGCTTTGCCTGTTTCTAGAAGCCTTGAATTCAACACTTGGAGGCATTTTTATTGTTTATAACAGGTTCCAACTTTAACTTGATTCTGAACTTTGGTAACTTTTGTTTGTAGAGCTGGTCAGTTTGTTGCATTTTAATTCTACCTTTGAGCTAATATGTTTCTGATACTTTTTTTTTTTCCTGTGAGGTCATTTGTGAGGTTTTCATTCCTTTCCCCAGGAAGGTCAAAGTGTTAGTAGAGTTGAATTAAGTTTTTACAAAATCATGTTAAAACAGGAAAACAGGTCCAGATTACAAATAGCAAGAGAATATTTTTGAATTTTTATAACTTACTATAGAGAAATATAATTTGTTACTTTGCTAACCATAGCACATTTTTAGTTTCTTGGGTTATAGGTACTGTATTTGCAAATTTGCCTTTAAAACCAGTTAGATGATTACTTCTTGGCCTTTTTTGCTAAGATCAAGTGTAGTACCTGTTCTTACTAGTTTGACATCTGATAAAGACCTCTATCTGGGGACAACACATTCAATGGGTTTCTGGAGCAGGGAGATAGAAGAAATGGAGTTTGCCTGTTCACACTGTGCGTAGATCCGCTACTGAAGTGCTTCCGAGAACAGTGCACCCCCTCGGGGACAAGAAACAATAAAATAAATAAATAAAAATAAAACCAATCAGATTATTTAATTACTTCCAGTTGGGTCATATTAGAAGTAATTAAAATAATTTACCTTTATTTCAGTTGAGATGTACTACATATTATCATGGGCTTTTACTATATTTTGATACTATAGGAGGCCTTGGACTTGGATCTTTTGATAGCTGTTTAATTACTGAAGAATTGGCATACGGATGTACAGGAATTCAGACTGCTATTGAAGCAAATTCTTTAGGGGTAAGTCACTTAGAAAATTAATTGCCTAACTGAGCTATGGTTAATTAGATAACACTACTAGGTTAGGTTAGTTGATAGAACACAATTTTCTTTTAAAAGAAACACAAGATTCTGCAGTGAAGCTGTATTTCTTATTCCAAAAGTTGATCATGCTGGCCTTGTCTATACTACTTGGAGTCCTAGCTATCCTTGTGGGGAAACTGTACACTTTGGCTGCTGCTTCAGGCCAAAATCCGCATTTAGGGGAAGGATCTTGATGGCAATGCTAAAATTTAGTGAGCAGTTCTTTGGAAGCCTGGTCACGTATACTACATTATTTATCCTAAATTTAATTCATTATATAATACAGTATTATACCAAGTTCTATATAACTTAATTTTATGAAAATACTTGTATTAACAGATTTATTTTCTTATTTTAGCTCTCCAATCTAGAGGCAGAATAAAGCCAAGTTCTTTAGACTTACCCATTGGGGGAAAATAGTTTTCTGTTTTTAAATTGTAGTATCCCTGAATTTAAGTACATAATAAAAATATCTTTTTTATGTCACTTTTCTTCAATAGCAAATGCCTATTATTATTGCTGGAAATGCTCAACAACAAAAGAAGTATTTGGGGAGGATGACTGAAGAGCCATTAATGTGTGTGAGTATGTGCAGCTGAAGTTACCAAAGTATTTAGGTACAGTGATAATTCTGGGATGCCAAGAAAATGTCATAATAAATTACTCTTGGTTATTTCCAAATGAAAAATATCTACTTATGATATATCATGAGTGCCAGAAAATTGTCATTATAATCCCCAGTTTATTTCCAGGAGAGAGATAACTATTTAATGGTGCACTCTGCAGTTTAAGAACTGAGTGGCTGTCTTAGAAATTTAGATTGAATGTATGATGGTAGGTGTTTGAACTAGTAGTTTTTTGAACTAATAAGAAATTAAAATGAATAAAAAGATATAAATTTATTTGTTAAATGAGTAACTTGAGTCTATGGCCATACCACCCTGAATGCATCCGATCTCGTCTGAATGAGTAACTTGGGGAGAATATAATGATGAATTCCCTGAGAGCTACTCAACAAATGTATAAATTGTTATTTTTATTTTTTTATATTTTGGGGGGAGAGGTGTGCAAAAGATCTTTTTTATTCTTTTAGATCCAGAAAAAAATTCACATTCTGCTCAGCCTGTAAAATTCAACAACAAAGATCTGCTCTCCAGGCAGATGTTACCCTGATGGGATATTACTTCTCCACACAGTCCCCTACACATACATACACATACATACTGAGGTTCTATTTTGAAAGTGTTTTTACTTAAGGATTTTTTTCTTCTTTTTGTTATTAGTCAAATTTTAATCTAGCGTGTAATTGTGATACCGAAATAATACATTGTTACTAAAATTTAGCTAATTGTGAGAGTTTGTTTGAAAGACTAGAAAGTAATATTTGAAAATAAATGTTTGTTTATTCCGGTACCTACATTTTGGGCAAACTGCCTAATAAAGACATTTATGCTTATTTCCCAGTTGGTAATTTTTTTCAACACATGAGAGTTTATTAAAAGGCTAATTCCCAGTATTACCTCAGAATTGTGTGAAATATCTACAGTCTTAACCTATAACATATATAATATTAGAAATTGGCTAAAAATTATAGAATATAGATGCTTAGGGGAATCTGCCTTAGTGCACTGATAAGAATATTTGTGCCCTGGCTGGTATGACTCAGTGAGTGGATTGAGTGCCGGCCTGGGAACCAAAGCGTTGCCAGTTCAATTCCCAGTCAGGGGACGTGCCTGGGTTGTGGGCCAGGTCCCCAGTAAGGGGCACATGTAAGGCAACCACACACTGATGTTTCCCTCTGTTTCTCCTTCCCTTCCCCTCTCTCTAAAAATAAATAAATAAAATCAAGAATATTTGTAATTATGTTATTAGTTATAAACAGGTATTTCTAGATTAGAGTCTTTAAAAGCAATTCAAGTACTTTAAACATTTTTAGCAGTTTTGTTAGATATCAATACCTTCAGTATATGTAAAAATATATTCATTGTAATCCCTAAGCTATTCTAACTTCTTAATCAGTAAAGATTTAATATACATTTTCTACATTCTTATGCATAAGAGTAATAGATCTGCTCAAAATATGAAACCAAGGGTAAAAATGAAAACAGTCTATAGGTATATTAATTATGAGTTTTGATTACTTCCACTGAGATTATTTATTGTTTAACTCCCAATAAATATTTATAAAATTATATTACATAAAGTATTTTATTGAAAATTTTAAAAACCTTTTTAAACTCTTCTGATTGTAGAAACAATATAGAAAATTTTGAAAAGTATGAGGAACAAAAACATCTGTAATCCCTCACATATGAAGTTAACTAGTATTACTGTCTTATTGTACTATCAGATTTTTAAATACATATTAATATGTTTTTAACAATTAGGGTCATATTATATGTGCAGTTATATGCTTATTAATATCACATGCATTTTCTTTTTAAAGACTGATATTTATTACTATATAATATGCCTATTGATATACTATAATAATTTCTCCATTCACTATTGTTGAATATTTAAATTCTTTAGATTTTTGCTTTTAAAAATATTTTAATAATTGATACAAAAAATTGATACAACTTTTTTGTTTTAACTTTACAGTACAGATATATTGTTATTATGTATTCATAAGACTTAATCTCTTACCTGATTATGTATGGTCAGATATACAGAGAAAAATAAGGGCAACACCATAATTATTTTTAATACCATTTAGTGCAAAATAAATTTTCCAAAAATCATAACAAATTGTGTTACTGCATATGTATTATATACATAAAGTAGTAAAAACTATATATCTTTTTAAAAGATTGGGTTAAATCTTTTAAACAGGATATACCTAAAATATATGCAGTATTAAGCAATCATGGACAAATATTAGCCTATGAGGACAAACTTGTTATGGGCAAGACATTCAGTAAACTCAATTTTGTTCAAAAATGGTCTTAGAACTCAGAAGCCTCAGTAAAGAGCCTAATACTGGTGAAGAAAACTCTTGTCATAAAATCATACATTTCTAATGGCACTAGGAAGTAGCTGGCATGTAACTGAAATAACACTGAACTTGGGGTCCCAAGACCTGGCTTTAGGTCTTTGCTTAGCCATATAATAGTAATGTGATCTTATACAGTCACTTAAGCTTAAAGTCTCTTTTGAAAATAGGGAGTATATCTCTAAAAGGAATGGTAAAGATAAAATGCTTATATTTTCATAAGAATATCTTCACAGAGTGTCCCTTTTGCAAAAATACATTAGCACAATTATTTCATACCTGATGGCTAGAGGAAACTTTTTTCTTTAATTCATATTCATTCATTCATTAATTTATGCAATATCTGAGTTGCCTACTTGCTTTATGCGAGACTTTAGCTTATGGGCATTGTATTTTTTTTAACATTATACTTTATGATTCTGCTATTACAGTTGTCCCAGTGTTTCCTCCTTTGCTCCCCTCCACCCATCAACCCCCAAGCCCTCAGATAATCATGGATAAGTTCTTTGGCTACTCCATTTCCTATACTGTACTTGACCTCTCCATGGCTATTCTTTAACTACCTATTTGTACTTCTTAATCTACTTACCTCTTAACCCATTCACCGACACCCCACTCCCATCTGGCAACCATCAAAAATGCTCCCCATATCTATGATTCTGTCTCTGTGCTTGTTTGCTAAGCTTGTTTTTTAGATTCAATTGTTGATAGATACATATTTATTGCCATTTTATTGTTCATAGTTTTGATCTTCTTTTTCTTAAATAAGTCCTTTTAACATTTCATATATAATGGTTTGGTAATGATGAACTCCTTTAGCTTTTTCTTGTCTGGAAAGCTGTTTATCTGCCTTTCAATTCTAAATGATACCTTTGCTGGGCAGAGCAATCTTGGCTGTAGGTCCTTGCTTTTTGTGACTTTGAATATTTCTTGCCAATCCCTTCTAGCCTGCAAAGTTTCTTTGAGAAGTCAACTGACAGTCTTATGAGAGCTCCCCTGTAGGTAACTAACTTCTTTTCTCTCACTACCTTTAAGATTCTCTCTTTATCTTTAACCTTTGCCATTTTAATGATGATGTATATTGGAGTGGGCCTCTTTGCATCCGTCTTGTTTGGGACTCTCTGTGCTTCCTGCACTTGCATGTCTATGTCTTTCACCAAATTAGGGAAATTTTCTTTCATTATTTTTTCAAATAAATTTGCCTTTCTTGCTCTTTCTCTTCTCCTTCTGGCACCCTTATGATGTGAATGTTGGAATGCTTGAAGTTGTCCCAGAGGCTGCTTACTCTATTCTTGTTTTTTTTGGAATCTTTTTTCTTGTTGTGAATGATTGATTTTTGCTTCTGTGTGTTCCAAATCATTGATTTGATTTTCAGCTTCATCCACTCTACTATTGTTTACCTGTAAATTGTTGTTCATTTCAATTAGTGTATCTTTCATTTCTGGCTGGATCTGTTTTATGCTGTTGAGGTCCTCACTCAGTTCCGTGAGCCTCCTTATAACTTACAACTAGTATTTTTTTGTCTTAGTTAAGTGGGAAGAATAGAGCCAATTTTATATCCCACCCTTAGTAATTATCTGAACCTAAAAGCAAGTGTGTAATTTATTATTTTTCTTCTGGTTGTATCTTTATTTTCACTTCACCCTGAGTTTTTAATAGTTTTTATTTTTTATTATATTTTTTTCCCACTACCATTTATCTCCCTTATACCCTCTTCTACCTCCAACCACCCTACTCCTCATCCTGATTTTTTTTAAAAAACATGTATTATATAAGCTACTTCAACTCCCTTTAGAGTGGAAGGTAAAAAAATATTTTTATAGAGATAAATGCAACATTGCTTTGTAAACAATACAAATTTAAGATTGGTAGCATTATCACTAATAAAGTTGTAATGCTATACTCATTCATTCAAATACTTGAATACTGTGTAATGAGTAGACTGTGAATAAAATAATGCCTAAAACTGGGCACCTACTCACAAGAAATTAATCTGGTAGACCCTTAGATCCTTACCCAGAATGTATTAATTTATGCATAGAATTATGCAAAATAGTAAATAAATTCATAAATAAATAATGATGCTTAAAAGGATGTTACTATAATGCTTGATTTTTGTAGTTCTCATGGCAACATTTAGATTTTGTATGTCAAACTAGTCAGAATAATGAGGATCACAAATGCTAGGGACAGTTGTTTTGTAAAACATTTATTGATAGACAATAGGGATACCAAATGACTTGAGAAGCTCTGATATAGCTAAGGGAGAAACACATAAATGACTGTAATACTCTGTGTAATATCATATAGTGCGATAAAGAAGAGGACAAGTTACAGTGGAAACAAAAAAGAAGGCTTCTGCTGAAAGGCATTATAAAATTAATTTTAATTACTAGGAATGAATCAAAAAAGAACAACATCTCTGAAGAAACAGCCATGATAAGCCATTTTGTATAGACTAGTATACTATATAAGCTCTAAAAACTTTGTGTTATTATAAAGCTCATAAATGTCTAATAGCATATTTTAGGAAAACTAAATTTCTAAAGGTGGGTAAAATAAAAGCATTATCTTTTCTGGACAGTTCATTTGTTTAATAACCACTTTTGTTGTTATGATTCTGAAAACATCTTGGAATCTCTAGGTAGGAGAGTAATCAATCTACTTAACTTACATGATGACACCTGAGTCCCCACTATAGTACTCAGTCAAAAGGCCATCTAGCATATGTTTTAATGCCTGGGAATCACAATGTCCTGAAACAGCTCCATTTGGGAGCCTCTCCAGCCATTAGAAAGATCTTCTGGATACCATGCTCCTAAAGAAAAGGACTGTGTCATTTCTATTTATAATCTTACCACCTCACACCACAATAGGTGTTCAATAAAAGTTTGAATGATTTCACTGCAGTTTTCTATCAATTCAAATTCTCTCCCTTGGCTGTATAGTATTTTGGGTATTTGAATATAGCTATCATGTGGACCTTATCTTTTATAAGTTATTTATATAACTTTTTTATCTTTTTTTCATTCAACACAGTAATATCCTGTCACCTTACTAATCACTGACTCTAAAATATCCTGGAGCTAAATACTGTATTTCTGCATGGTCTGATGAATGCAGAGTAGGATGATTCCACTACTCTTATTTTACATACTGTTATAAATACAGCTTATAGCATTAGCACTGTTAGTTTATATAAAGCTTACTCTTCTCTTAAATTACCAACTCAGCTTCCCCATCTAGTGTTAAGTTTTTGTATATTCATGAAGTAGTCTATTAGCTCTATAGTTCCAGCACTGATTTCTCCCCTGAGCTTTACCCTCCTATATACACTAGTCTATTAGACATTTCTTCTTGGCTAGACTTAAATACCTTAAACTAAATGTGTCTCAAACCAAATTATTTTCTTCCCATTTTTTAGAACTGCTTCTCTTCTAGATTATCTCTAACTGGAAGTTGCTTAAACTGAAAAATTGAAAGTCTTCATACATCTTCTTTAGCTTCCCAGTGTCCTAGTTAGTCATCATATGTGAATTTCACACCACAGTTCTCAACTGCAGTGTCTTTTCTCTGGCTTACTTCTTTCTTACCTGTACTATTACAAAGCCTCCTTAATGTGTATCCCAAGTCATCTTGTGTAGGTACTTCTGCCACTTAGTAGCTCTGTGAACATGGGCAAATTATTTAACCTCACTGTGCCAGTTTAGTTATTTGTAAATGCAGATATTTAGTACCTATGTCATGAGGATTATTTTGAGGTTTAAATGAGTCAAATACTTAGAACAGACCCTGAGAGATAGTGAATAATTATTATTATGCTCCCTTAATTCGGTCACTTATACTTTTGTAATGATAAACTATCTAAAATGTAAATGTCATTCTCTTGCATTTATAAAAATATTCACTGTTTCCAATTTATCAATGGCATTTGTACCTTTTGCAGTTTCTGAACCCATTTTAGAATCTGACGTCTTCAGAAAAGTGCATATACTCCTCATTTTTCCACATTAGGGCATTCTGTACTCTCCTGAAGCCCATGTACTCAATTCCTTAAGATTCCATGTCACAATTACAATTGTCCCATAAACTTTTTTGAATGCACAGACTATACTTTCCTTAGCATGGCATATACCTCAGTCTCCATGACCAAGTCCCTTTCTGCCTCTTTTCATGGCTTTCAGTTTCACACTTTACTTTCTGAACTGCTAGTAGTTCCCCGTTACAACTACTGCTTCATTCTTTTATGCCTTTGATCTTCTTGCCTTACTTATTTGTACTTCAGGATATAGCTCTTCCAGTGAGTTTTACTTATTTCTCTTCCTTTTCACCTAACTGACCACACTCATGACCTCCCATCCACCTACAGGTCTATATAATCATTTTTAAGGTCCCTGTGTACCCTGTTACTTTAGAATTAAAACTGACTGTTAAGGTTTCTCTCTTCTTTGGATTCTAAGTACTTTAAGGGCAAAGGACTGTCTTTGGGCCTTGTATCCACAGGACCTGTCACTCAGTAAACTTCAATGAACTTCAGCTACCCAGTGCTTTTCTTCCTCTGCCCCCTTTTTCTATTCCAGCTTATCTTTTTTCACTCCTCTGTTTAACAGCCTTAAGAGACTCCCCTCTTTCTACCAGATAAAATTATAACTTCTGTGTGTTATATAAAGGTTTCTTTATCATCTGCTTTCTTTCCAGACTTGTTTCCTACCATTCCCTTACATGCACAGAATTACCATGTTATAGAACTCAGGTACTTTTGTATTCCAAACATTGGGTAACCCTGCTTCTTATCTTGGTATCATTGCATATGTTGTTACTTCTTCCTGAAATACACATTTCTTCTTTTCCCTATCCCCAAAGAATTCCTTTTCCTTTATGAAATTCTAAGCATCGCTTCTGGGAAGCTTTTTCTGACACCCTAAAGCTAAGCTAGTTTCTTAAGCCTATTGTATATGACTTTAATAGATACATGATTACAATATACCAGTCATCCCCACTGTTACAGTGTGAAAATCTTGAAGACAGGATGTCTTTTATCTGTGGTTTTTCCATCTAGTCTATAACCTGGTACATGGTATAAACTACTTATTAGGTATTTGAATGAGTAAGTACACGTGAAATTGAATTTAACTGGGTTGAAGAGATCTAACATTCTAATTTTTGGTATGGTTTACTGGTATCCTATACCAAGCTTAAATTATATATTAAATAATTTTACATTTAGTGGTTTATTTGATTCTCCAAGGACATTTTATTTTTAGGCATTGTAAAATATTTAAAGTACTGACTTAAAAAATAAAATACACTCCGTATTCTATGTTCAGAGTTTAATACTTAGCATTTAGATATTTTCTCTTGTTTCCATATATTCCAGGCCTACTGTGTAACAGAACCTGGAACAGGCTCTGATGTAGCCGGTATAAAGACCAAAGCAGAAAAGAAAGGAGATGAGTATATTATTAACGGTCAGAAGATGTGGATAACCAATGGAGGAAAAGCTAATTGGTATGTTGTTTAAAACATCTCTGTATATTGTTTTGTAATTATTTTACATTCAGAATCTCCCCTCTGTTCTTTCCTTTATTATGAAACCATCAGTATTAAGATAAGTTTTATTCATAGAACTTACAGAAGTTCCATAAAAGATTATAAGTAGTTCAGTGATTTTCAAAAACTATTTTTAAGCCTTGAACTATGTCTTCAAGTTAACTCTCAAAAGTTAAATTTATAAAATAAAACAGAAATACCTGCTCTGGCTGTATCTGATTAGGAAAGCTAGAACTTCATCCATCTGCCCTACACCAGCACCTTCTGGGGACCGCTCTCCTGGGACTGAGGAAGGAAGAAAACCATTGAGAGCAAATTTCTCTGATTCCAAGCAATATGTAATGGCAGTTTTAAAACTCAGGTTATCTTAGAGAAGACATAATTCTACTTTTATGAAATCTAAAATGTCCAAATGTATAGGTCCAAAAATACTGACATGAAGCTCAACAGAGGATCAAAAATCACTTGTATAAATCTAAAATGTTGAAGGAAAACATATTTGATAGTATTATTTGTGGGGGAAAAAGATGAAAGTTTATTTAATAAGTCATTATAGGTTTAGTAGGAATCAACAGTATGATGTATCTGCCTTTAAAAAACTAATGTAATTTCTTGCTAAAACACAATAATAGAAGGATAGCATCAGCAAGAAGGGGAAAATGGTAACAGTTCTGGGCAACACACTTTAAGATACACACTGGCAAAATGGAATGAATTCAGAATCAAGAGTCCTACTTTAGGAGGAGCCTATAAAACATGTCCTATGAAGAGTAAAGGAATTAGGTTTGGTTAGTTTGGAAGAATCCTGAAAATTTTTAAATAATGTCACACATTATTTAGAAAGCAGTCTGTTGCACATTATTTAGAAAGAAAAGCAGTCTCGTACACGTGTTCAAGAAGCCAGTTTAGCATTAATGGGTGAAAGTTAGAAAAACACAGAATTCAGCTCAACATAAGGACAAGCCTTCCAACAATAGTGCTGTCCAGTGTCTGTATTTATCTGTAAACAGTATGAGTCAATATATCTGTGTACTCTGAAGGGCAGTTTTCTGGCAAGTAAAGCGTTATTTCTGGGAATGAGGTTACCAGAGTGTCATTTGTTTTTGCTTTAAACATGTCTATCAATCCCTTGGAGGTATCTATTAATTATGGATATCATTATCTTTATGTGATTATAATATTAGCAAGTAATTAAACTATTGAAATGTAACAAGTTGAGAGAAATCTAACCATGCAATTAGAAGTGTTCATAATTTTTAAGAACTCATGTAGTAAGACAAATTAGGTAATGCATGAAACTAAAACCAGTTTTTACTATATTTGATATTAGCCAAAAGGCCAAGAAGTGATAAAAATCAATTTTTACTGTGTATTACTATTATCAAGTAAAACTATAGAGTGAATGGTAGTTTATTAGTTTTATTTATTTTTTTAAATATATTTTATTGATTATGCTATTACAGTTGTCTCATTTTCCCCCCTTTATTCCCTTCTGCCCTGCATTCCCCCTCCCACCCACATTCCCCTTCCTTAGTTCATGTCCATGGATTGTACATATAAGTTCTTTGGCTTCTCCATTTCTATACTAATCTTAACCTTCCCCTGTCTATTTCCTACCTACCATTTATGCTACTTATTCTCTGTATCTGTTCCTCCTCTCTCCCCTTCCCACACCCCACTGTTAACCTTCCATGTGATCTCCAGTTCTGTGATTCTGTTCCTGTTCTAGTTGTTTGCTTAGTTTGTCTACATTTTTGGGTTTTTTTTTTTTAAGGCTTGGTTGTTAATAGCTATGAGTCTGTTGTCATTCTACCGTTCATATCTTTGATCTTCTTTTTCTTAGATAAGTCCCTTTAACATTTCCTGTAATAAGGGCTGGTGAACTCCTTTAACTTGACCTTATCTGGGAAGCACTTTATCTGCCCTTCCATTCTAAATGATAGCTTTGCTGGATAGAGTAATCTTGGATGTAGATTCTTGCCTTTCATGACTTGGAATACTTCTTTCCAGCCCCTCCTTTCTTGCCTGCAAGGTTTCTTTTGAGAAATCAACAGTCTTATGGGTACTCCTTTGTAGGTAACTGTCTCCTTTTGCTGCTTTTAAGATTCTCTCCTTATCTTTAATCTTGGCTAATGTAATTATGATGTGCCTTGGTGTGTTCCTCCTTGGGTCCAACTTCTTTGGGACTCTCTGAGCTTCCTGGTCTTCCTGAAAGTCTATTTCCTTTGCCAGATTGGGGAAGTTCTCTTTCATTATGTTTTCAAGTAAGTTTTCAAGTTCTTGCTCTTCTTCTTCTGGCACCCCTATGATTTGGATGTTGGAACATTTAAAGATATCTTGGAGTATCCTAAGTTTCTCCTTATTTTTTTGAATTCTTGTTTCTTCATTCTGTTCTGGTTGAATGTTTCTTCTTCCTTCTGCTCCACACTGTTGATTTGAGTCCCCGTTTCCTTCTTGTCATTGTTGATTCCCTGTACATTTTCCTTTATTTCACTTTTCATAGCCTTCACTTCTTCCTCTATTTTGTAACCATCCTCAACCATTTCTGTGCGCATCCTGATTACCAGTGTTTGAACTCTGCAACGGATAGGTTGTCTATCTCTTCATCACTTAGTTGTGTTTTTTCTGGAGCTTTGATCTGTTCTTTCATTGGGCCATTTTTTTTTTTTTCTGTCTCAGTGCACCTGTTACGTAGTAAGGGCTGGAGCCTTAGGTATTCATCAGGGCAGGGCAACCCAAGTCACTTTATCGTGACACTGTACGTGGGGGAGGGGTCTGACAGGAAACAGTGCCACTTGCTCAGCTCTCAGTCAGCTTTCAGTCACTTCCCCCACTACCCACAAGCAAATTGGGCCCTTCTGGTGCTGACTCCTCGGTGGGTGGGTTTGTGTGCATTCTAGGACCCTGTGGGTCTCTCCAACGAACTCTCCTGTGAGGCTGGGAATCTCTCCCACTGCTACCTCACCCCCCACAGGTTTTTATAGCCAGAGGTTTTGCCACTTTCCCTACACTGGAACCCTGGGTTGCTTGGTATCTTGCTCCCCAGTTGTTCCTCCTGGTTTATCTGTACATGAATGTGGGACCTCCCATTTCGCAAGCCACCGCCTCACCCAGTCCGCCTTGCCCGCCACAGCTGCTGCCTTTTTGCAAGTCCTCTCCACCCGGCTGCTCGTCTCCATGACTCCTACCGGTCTGGATGAATGTTTCTTCTTTAACTTCTTGGTTGTTGGACTTCCATACAGTTCAGTTTTCTGGCAGTTCTGGTTATTTTTTGTTTTTAAATTTGTTGTTGTCCCTCTTTTGGTTGTGCGAGGAGGCACAGTATGTCTACCTACACCTCTATCTTGGCCGGAAGTTAGTTTATTAGTTTTAAACATAGAAAATAAATGTGTTGTTTAAGGAATTTTTAGAAAATTCCTCCTATGAGGATATTTAGAACATGGGTCACATGGATATTTGGATGTTTTGCCTTTTCCTCATATTTCATTTTAACATCTTTCTGGGATAAATTCTTTTAGAGGGAAAACTGCAAATATGTATAATAATTTAGCTATATCAACAATACTAACTGCTGCATAAAGAGGACAGTAGTCAGAACATAAGGGTCTCTAACTCATATTGTTTCTTTTCACAGGCAACCCTACCTGCTGTCCTTTTCCATATTGCTTGTCCCTTAAAGAAATGACTTAGTTTGGGGAAAGGAAAAGTGTCAGTTTCAACATACACATACTTTTCTTTTTATATTACATTACCTTGATGTAAGGAATTTTTACTTGCAACTTGTATACTAAAAGAAGTTAAACACCATGTAATTAAGAAGCAGACTTTCCCTGGCCCAGTGGTTCAGTTGGTTGGAGCATTGTTCTGTACAATGAAAGGTTGCAGGTTCGATTCCCAGTCAAGGTACATACCAGGGTTGCAGGTTGGATCCCTGGTCAGGGAGTGTACGGAAGGTAGCTGATTGATGTTTCCCTCTCTCTAAAGTCAATGAATATATCCTCGGGTAAAGATTTAAAAATAAAAAAAGATGTAGACCTGACCTGAAATACTAGTTTTGCCACATCATAAATATGTAACTTGGCTTTTGCAAGTTTTAAACCTCTGATTCTTCATTTCCTCATCTGGAAATAGGGGATAATAATATTGGAATCCTTGGAAAGATGAACTGAGAATAACAGTCACCATACATTGTCTGCTGATACCATTATCTTTATTGTGTTTTATGTATATATTAGGTATTTTTTATTGGCTCGTTCTGCCCCGGATCCTAAGACTCCTGCTAGTAAAGCTTTTACTGGATTTATTGTGGAAGCAGACACTCCAGGAATACAGATTGGAAGAAAGGTAAGGTATATATTTATCAGTGGTTAAGGCCTCAATTATTATTTGAACCAAAAATTTTAAAATTATCATTTCAGTTTCCTTTACTGAAAACATTTTATTAAGTTGACATAAAAATAAAGCTGTGTTTTGATGCTATCAGGTGAACTCATCTATATATTTCCAGAGGTTTTAAGGTGAGAATAATCATTGCAAGTCATTATTTGAAAGAGTGGCCATTCATGGTGCCAGTCTGTGTAAATGCTTATAACAGTTGTGAGGAATAATGAAGCAGAAATCAAACTTATTTATAGGACCTGCCCAATAATGGAGTTTTAGGTATTTCAGAAGATTGTCCCACTCTTTTTACTTCCTGACAGTAACCTTTCAGATAGGATAAGTGGCATTTATGCCTATTTTATGGATTAAAACACTGACATAAATTGATTACCCACGCCAGACAACACTGAGATAAAAAATCTGTGCCTGAGAAAAGTATGGAAATGTTAAAGAACCTTGAATGTGAGAAGGCAATAAAGTATTTAAGTAAGAAAAGGTATTTTAACATAGATGAAAGGTGTTGTAATCTGAATGTGCAGAGATAATTTAGCAGTAGCATTTCAAGAAGACTAAAAAGAAAAGTTTACATTTAATAAATCAAAGAAGGAAAGAAATGAAGTCCATAAAGTAAACCTCGTGAGAGCTAAGGAAGCATGATTTAAGAGTATAACTGAGAAGAGAAAGAGGAGAGTCAGTTTTACAACAGTAAAAAACTTTTTGCAAATGAAGGTATGGCAGAGAAAACTATAAATGACCCAATGATGTTGAATTAGTAAAGGTTACACGAATATATTATTTTCCTCCTAAATGGGGAAAGGTACAGATTATCTGGTCAGATATTAGACTAAGGGTGGCATTACCTGAACTGGAAAGGCTAACATTTGAATTGACCCAGTTACATAAACTTCTAAACCAGTAATGTCTATTTGTGTAATCCTATTTTAAAAGCCATCAGAATCTCTTTGTTGTACCCATGCCTCTTTAAAATAGAAGCATTTTGCTAGATTTCATGAGAGGAATAATTTCTTTTATAGGATATAGAATATGAAAGGTAGAAAATAATGTCTACATTATTTCAGTCTGTATACTGAATATTACAACTGAGATCCAAATGAAATGATTTACTCAGAATTACATATTTAGAGGCAGAGTTGAGATCAATACTAAGGTGTCTTAGTAACTTACTCAATGCCGTTTCTGACACTATATTTTATATTTTGTCTTAACAGTAGATATAAAGGTAGATTGTACTTTACAAATAAGAGTATAATGAGATTGTTACATATAACAAATTATAAGTACTAAGAATGGTTGTGCTTCTCCTAAGCAATTGGTTTGTTTTATTTATATTTTATCCATGTTTCTTTTTTAGGGATGACTGCTAGAAAATTTAGGGCCAAAGTTACGGCCATCTCTAAAAAGTATAAAGGGCTTAACAGTTTATACTTTTTAAAGTAGTAAACCCTCTTCCAATTTTATCTTGCTATATCTAGTCTCATTTTCTTTTTTTTTTTCCTCAATTTTTTCATTAAAAAAATCTCTAATTCAATAAATATTTATTATTGAGTTAATACTATATGGTAGGTACTATTTTAGGTATCAGGGAAATTGTATGGATCAGAACAGACATAAATCCCTGTGCTTGGGAAGCTTCCTTTCTCATGAGAGAGACATAATTACATTGTATATAATTAAACTTCCTTATATTTTTTGAAGTATCGGACATTTTATAAATTTGTGAAATTTGATGAGTTTCAAAATGGTTTGTGTTTTAGAAATTATATGGCTTGAAATGAGTCCAGGAAGCTTTTTGGTTTTAAATGTTCTGGTGTTTGAGGTGATTCTGGAAAATAGCGTAAACAGTGTTTTCTTAAACAATTTTCTCAGTATATCTGAGTGAAGGTCTAAAGTAGTCGAGTTTATCAACTCTTAAAGACAAAATAAAGAGTAGTTGATTTATTTTTCTATCAAATATATATTATTGTCACCATTTCTTCAAGCCTGGAAGCAGACCATTAATATTAAAGCAAGCAAATTAAAGAATTTGTTTACAGCTCTGTGTTCCCCTAGCCCATACTTCTCATGCTGCTTATTAAAAACAAGGTTAATTTTATTCTGTAAGAAGAGTCATGATGTCTGCAACTTATTCTCAAATAATTCAAATAATGCTAATAGTTATTCATACACATACCTCCAACACAGAAATAAAGCAAATGTGGCAAAACGTTGAAAATTGGTGAGTGTAGATAAAAGGTATATACTACTACTACAACTCTTCTGTTGGTTTGAATATTTTCAAGACAAAAGTTGAGGGAATGTAGCTACTTCGGCAGTTTCTTATAAAGTTAAATGTGTACTTACAACAGACCCAGCATTCCTAGGTATTCATCCAGAGAAATGAAAACAAAGACCCATACATGAATGCTTATAGCAGCTTAACTTATAATTGATAAAAACTGGGGGTAGGGGGTGTTCATTAACAAATGAATGGATAATGGATATATGGTACATCCAATATAGTGGAATATTACTCAGCAGTAAAAGAAAAGGTTTACTGACCAACAGCAACATGAATGAATCTCAAAAGCACTATGAAAAGTGGAAAGTCAGACACAGAAGGCTGACCTTATCATTCTACTTGTGTGACATTCCGGAATAGAAAAAACTATATGGAGAGAAATCAGATCAGTGGTTGCTTGGAGCTGGGAACACAGTAAACAAAATGACTGAAAGGGGGTACAAGAGAACTTCTGGGAGTGCTGAAATACTCTGTGTCTTGACTGTGATGGTGATGACACATAAACATAAGAAATGTATGTGCAGACACATGAATTTTTCTATGTGGTAAGTTCTACCTCAATCTAATTTTAAGAAACAGTTGAAAGAAAACAGAAATTCAACTTTTAACTAGTATATTACTCTGCTAGCTCTATTAGTGAAGCTAAAATTAAATGTCCTAAGTCAGTTTGCTAAATGCTTTTTAGCAGTAAAAAGGGAAAGAAAAGAGACTTCAAACATATAATGAAATTTGTAGGTACATGTAATATATACATATAAACCTTTACATGAAACATTGTTTTGAACTAGGGGTTGACAATTTTTTTGTAATGGTACAGATCGTAAATACTTTAGATTTTGAGGGTAATATATATAGGGCTCTGTCACAACTACTCAATTCTGTCATTGCAGTAAGAAAGTAGCCATAAATAGTATGTAAACAAATAGGTGTGATTATATTCCAATAAAGTTTACTTTACAAAGTAGGCATTTACAGGCCATAGGTGGTTAACCCTTGTTTTAGACAATTGCAGAAAGTCATAAAATAGTAGTTACAGCAAAAATTCATGCTAGCTTATAAGATGTTCCTTTAATGTGTATTGTTTTTTCTACTAGGAATTAAATATGGGCCAGCGATGCTCAGATACAAGAGGAATTACCTTTGAAGATGTGAAAGTGCCTAAAGAAAATGTTTTAATTGGTGAGGGGGCTGGTTTCAAAATTGCAATGGGAGCTTTTGATAAAACCAGACCTCCAGTAAGTAATATGACTTGATAATTTTTATATGATCTCTTATGCATTACATTGAGTAGTTTTATTTTTAACATTGTAAACTTGGCATGTATTTATTTTTTAATATCTGCTTTATAATTTTATATTTTAGAATTATTCAGTTCTTTTGCTGCCTGTTACAGAAATTATTTTAGCAAATACAAAAGTACTGCAATTGCTGCTAGATTTACAGAGGCAGTTTATACTAAGTTTAATCATTCCTGCTGATATGCACAAGGGAGAACCAAAAAAACCCAGAATTATCTTCTAGAAAGCAGGCCTCTTGTAGTATAGGCTTCTCCAGCTAGGTGAGTGTTCTAGGAACCCATCTGTATCAGTGTACCAACTGGCATTGTTGTGAGAGGCTTCATTTGGCTTCAGTGAAATTTTTTTGAAGATTTTTTCAAAGCATTTGCACATTTCATGATGGGTGATTTATGAGCACACTCACACCATGCTGAGTGTTTAGCAGTTTTTGACCCAAAACGACATGACCCCCATGCCACGCTCTCCCCCATTCACCCCATCTTGCCCGGAGCAACATTTTTTGTTTGTTTCTCCTGAGGAAAAAAGTCCTTAAAAGGCAACATTGTGCCCACGTGGAAGAGGTGAAACAAAAAAGGGTGAAGGCATTAAAAAGCATCAAAAACTGTCAAATTCAAAACTTAGCAATGGGAAAAAATGTCTTGATAGGTGTATTGCATCAAATGGAGAGTACTTTGAAGGTGACTGAAGTTTAAATGTAAGAATAAATACACAATATTTTATAAATTCCATTTTTAGGGTTTCCCCCTCATATTCATTTTTTTTCACTCATTAGGGATATTTTCCCTGGAAAGCTTTCTTTTGTTAAACTGAAGAATGATTTATCTCTAGCAATGATCCTATACCTCACAAGTGTCTTCCATTAATCTTAAATTCATAAATATATAAATTTAAATGCTGGTTTCCCTCCTCACTCCACCCCTAGTCTCTTGTTGCCTTAAACTATAGGTTACCTCTCTGTATAATCCTTAATTTAGAATCTTAGCCAAATAGCCATTATACTGTGTGTTTTAAAGTGAGCATGAACTTTTGCTTTGTAAAATGTTACAACGCTAGGTAGCAGCTGGTGCTGTGGGACTAGCACAAAGAGCTTTGGATGAAGCTACCAAGTATGCCCTGGACAGGAAGACTTTTGGAAAGCTGCTTGTTGAGGTAATTTTAATATTGTGCTTGCTTTGTTCAAATGCAGATACATTCATTTTCATCTAAATATTTGAGAATTATTTTCTAAGTACAAACTGTTTCTGCTTCGGTAGCAAGAAGGTAATGTGATCTATCAGGATGACTTTCACAAGTAGATTCTCTTTAGACTGCCATTAATTATTGTCAGCTGCGGGGAATTGTGTTAAAAGAAAAAAGAACAGCCAATATTTCCTGAGTGCCTGTTGTATACCCGACACTGCGCTACACATTTTACAGTCTACTTCTCCTAGTACTATGCTTGTTTTGGTAGTATTATAATCTCCATTTAACATTGGGAAACTGAGGCTGAGAATGTTTATATAATTTGTCCAAGATCACACAATTTTTTATTAAATATTTTATTTATTTTTAGAGAGGGGAAGTGAGGGAGAAAGAGGGAGAGAAACATCAATGTGTAGTTGTCCCATGCATACCCCACACTGGGGACCCCGTCTGCAACCCAGGCCTGTTCCCTAGACTGGGAATCGAACCAGTGACCCTTTGGTTCTCAGGCTGACACTCAGTCCACTGAACTACACCAGCCAGGGCCAAGATCACACAATTTATACATCACAGATTCAGGACTCCAGTTCATGCTCTTAATCCATGTTACTTTTCATGTCTTCTTGATTAGCGTATAATTGTAGTACTAAAGAGTCTTGTCTTCCATGAATTTCCAGAGAAATGTTTAAGTCTTATCTCTTCAAGTATTGAAGAGATATATTATTTATATTGTCTCCTGTAACTCTCTGTAGGTTGTACACTGAACACCCCTTATTTTTGTCCCCATGTGTCAGTGGTTCTCAAACTGACGAAAGATCAATTTGTTTTTAATTTCTGATCGTGACCATTATTTTTGTAAATATAAGAATGTCACAACAATATCAAGTTGTTATAAAGGTTTCTAAATGTTTGCTATCACTTTCTATACCATGAACCAGTAACAGTTTATGGTCTGGTTCACAGATCAAATTTGGATTCATACTGCTCTATGATTATTAAATCTCAGTAGTTTCATTATTTATCTTTCTATACTATATTCTAGATAATTTTTCCAGACAGTTTTCCAGTTCTCTGATCCTGTGCCTAATCTGCTACTTAATCTTATCTGTTGAATTATTTAATGACTTTTTTATTTACAGAAGGTATATTCAGCCCTTTTTCAGTTTCACTCTTTTTATGGTGTCCTGGTTTTTTAACACAGCTTCTCTTTCTCTTGTCTCCTTAATTACATAAAAATACTTCCTTTATAGTCACTTTGAGATTTTCTTCTGTTGTCTCCAAATTCTTAGAATATTAGTCTTTGGGTCTGTTGCATCTTCTACTCTCTGTTATGGCCAGTTATTTTCTACCCACTCCCCATGCCTTCCTCTACATCCACCCACCCCCTCCACAGTCACCACAGTGCTGTCCATTGTCCGTGTGTTCTCTCCCTTAATCTCTGCTTGTAAATTTATCTGCAGCAGGTAATGTCTTCAGTGCATTGTGGTAGCATCTCAGAGATTGACTTTTATACTTTTTTGTACCTTTATCAGGTACCCCAGAGATTTCACCATTTCTAGAGTTGGTTTTCTTTTTTTTTTTTTTTGCATTAATTTTCTCCACTTAGGAATCTTGACCCACAGAGGCTGTACACAGTGATTCCACTGTTTAAGAGATTTATTTATGTTTTTGAGCCTTTCAGGCAGAGTCCTGGGCAAGAGTTAAGCTTTGTGGCCTTCCTGCCCTCATGAACAGAAACTTTTAGTTCTCCCTTTGGAAAGAAGCTCTTTTCCTAGGTGCTTCTTCTTTGCATTCAGGGAATCTCAATTTTAACCCCTTACCTTCATGCTTGCATCCAAGTCTCCTGTTCTTGTGTGTTCATTAAAACTCCAGCTACTTTCCCATTGAACCCAAATCTCAGTCTGATTTTTTTTCCTTCTTTGTGCCATTCCTTCTCAATTAGGATTTAAATTCCTTCTTGGAAGTACCTGGGGATTTATTTCTTTCCTTAAGCTCTTTTTTTAAAAAATCAAGCACTTCGTGTCCAAAAATACAGTTTACATTAGCTCATTCATATTGCTGGAACTGCATAAATACAGATTGGTAAAATATACATTATTATTAGTTTAGCTTACTCTTGAATAGATAACGACTGCAAATACTAGTCAGTGCAGATACGTCATCATTTACAGGTCTTCATTCCTATAGGACTTCTTTTAATGTATCTTATTTTCAAGCATATATCCCATTCTGTGTTTATTGTAATTTATATGATACAGTATAAGTAAAATTAACTAATAAAACTTATCTATAGTCCCATTGTTCAGAGATAATTACAGTGGATATTTTGCTCTATATTCTCTTTCTCCATAAATATATTTTTCCAAATCTGTAACTGTACTATGTATTTGAATTTTGCAGTTATCAATATGTGATGAACATATATCCATCCTGTCATATATCTTGGCCATATAACTCATACAATTCCATGAATTGTATCTCTTACTATCTCTTAGTGAAAGTATCCACCTATGTCTCCTATTTGATTATGGATCTCTAGAAGATAAGAGGCATCTTTTGTTTGTCCTTGTCATGGCACTCGCTTTCCCCTGACAACATCTGATACTATTATTCTCTATATGTAGCAATTAAAAAAAAAAAAAACCCTAGTAGAGTCTCAAAGGATATATATAGTTTTTGTAGTATTCATGCTAAAAGTGCATAACTTCATTTTGATCCTAAGAGAGCATCAGACAAACCCAAATTAGTACAACCCACAAAAATAATCAGTACTCTTTAAAAATGTCAAGTTCATGAAAGACAAGGCAGGACTGAGGAATTGTAACAGACTGGGGAAGATTAAGAAGAAATGACAATTAAACTCAGAATTATATTTGGGATCCTTGAAAGGAAAAAATGACATGAGTAGAAAGCTTGGCTGAATTTGAATGAAGTTTATAGTTAAGTTGATAATACAGTACCAGTGTTAATATCCTATTCTTGGTACGTATACTGTGATTTTGTAATATGTTAAAATTGGAGGAAACAGAGTATAACTTTTTCAGTCTAAGATTAGTTTAAAAGTTTAAAAACTTTAGGAGAAACCTTTTAAATTAGTCAATAATATTCTTAAACTTTTTTCTTTTTAATTGTAGCACCAAGCAGTATCATTTTTGCTGGCTGAAATGGCAATGAAAGTTGAACTAGCTAGACTAAGTTACCAGAGAGCTGCTTGGGAGGTTGATGCTGGCCGCTCAAATACCTATTATGCATCTATTGCAAAGGCATTTGCTGGAGATACTGCAAATCAGGTAGCTACTGATGCTGTGCAGATTTTTGGAGGCGCTGGATTTAATTCAGAATATCCTGTGGAAAAACTAATGAGGGATGCCAAGATCTATCAGGTAACATTAAAAATAATTGTTTTTTTGTTTGTTTTTTAGGAAACCAGGTGTCTATAGATGACAGTAGATTGTGATCGTTTAGTGCAGGGGTGTCAAACTCATTTTCACTGGGGGCCACTTACTTAAGCCTCACAATTGCCTTCAAAGGGCCAAAATAATTTTAGGATTGTATAAATGTAACTATTCCTGACTGTTAAGGAGTTGAAATTACATTACTACACATTCTTTGCATCTAGCTTAAGTAAGTATAACCCATGTTCTTAATTATCTCATCCCTTGCTTCCTTCTCCAGAACTATTTGAGAAATCCAGTCATTTGAATTCTAGTAGTAGAATCTTAGAATGCTAGAGTGAGAAGGAAATTTAGACATAGTACAGCCTCTCAATTTAGACATGAAAAAAGTGAGGGCCAGAATCTGTGCTGTATCCAAAGGTACAGGTTTATCTGGTGATACTATCCCTCTTCTGCAGCCTATAATTATTATAATTATTACAATTATGAACCATTTAACTTTTCTCTGCCATCTGAGAGATGAACTAACAAGTTTCTAGGATTAAAAGTTCAAATTGGAAGTGAGGGTTGGCTACTAGGAAGTGAACAAAACCAAATCTTTCCAGCATCATTTTCTTTAGCAACTCTGTTCCTTAGGCAGCAAGAGAAAAAATCAGATGTAAGAGTAGGAATAGAAAATGACTAACGGTAACAACTGGCTAAAAACAGTTCAGAACAATTCAGAAAAAAACAGTTAGCAATGTCAAACTTTAGATTTCCCATATTAAATATTAATGTGGGGAATATTTTCCCATTTTTTGAAATATCAATATTTGATTTTTCAAGACTCCTCCAAAGTTTTGGTAAATCACTTTTTATAATAGTTTAAAATCTTTACAGAATTATATATTTTCATGGGTGTCACAGTCAGGTTTTGAATCAATATACTATATATGGTTTAGTTCAGTTGGGTGTTACAGTAGAGCTTACAGTACTTTCCAAAATATTGAGTAAATTGAAGTATTTGTGTACTGAAGATATTTAACCTACTTGTGTATTTTTTTCCTTGCAGATTTATGAAGGTACAGCACAAATTCAAAGGCTTATTATAGCTCGTGAACACATTGGCAAGTACAAAAATTAACAGGATCACTATAGAGCCCTGGGTGGTGTGGCTCAGTTGATTGGAGCTTTGTTCAGTACACCAAAAGGTCCTGGATTCGATCCCTGATTGAGGCATGTTCGGGAGTCAACTGATCAATGCCTCTGTCTCTCTCTCCCCCTCCCTCCCTTTTTTCTCCCTCTGTTTCCCTCCCTAACCATCTCTCTCTGTCTCTCTCCTTCCTCTCTAAGTAATAAAATTCTCCTTCAAAAAAATTGCTTGGGGAAAAATTACTATAGAAACATGATTAATAGAACATAATCCACTATTTAAGCTACAGAAAAAAGAAAGGGTTTCAAGCTTTTTCCCAGTGAAAATCTCAAAATAAGTGCTCTTAAGTAAACATGTACAACTGATTCTAATAGTAATTTTACCTTTTTTAACTTTATGACTTGCCTTTCCTCAAATAGATTTGGTTTCATTAAAATTATGTGTTGTTCTTAGTACCACTGTACTTGAATTATATTAACCTTGAAAAATACATTTGTTTCGTTATTTCAACCTTTTAAAATTAAAGTAGCAGAAGTTCCTTGGAATGTCAATATTTTCCCAATGACAGAAACATGGGTTCATAAAAGTATTCAGGATGTTTTAAAATTTACATTGAGAAAACATTGTAGGATATGATCCCATCAAATAACTTGCCAGTGACTTTCTAGACTTAATGATATTGTAGTAGAGTAGTTCATTTTGCTACAATTTGGAAAGTATTTGTTTTCAGTTTGTATAGTAATAGTAAAAAAATTCAATGTTTATATTCTCTCATTATACAACCAGAAGTTACTTGAAAATCTGTTTAATTCTAAGCCCACGTTTCACTTACCTTATTTAAAATCAATCAATAAAATTTGCTTTAAATTATTTTTATATGACTTTATTGGTCTGTGGGTAGCCTTTGGTCTCTTGTACACGATCTCACTTCATCTGCATACATTCTGAAAAGAAACTTAAAAGTTTTCAGTACTTATTAGTGTCTGTATACTTTCCAGGAAGTATTTTAATTACTGTAATAGTGGATACCTAATTTATATACTATGATAGGAAAAAAGCCATATTTTTATTTTGAACTACATAAAGTTACCTGCCCATTTTTCATGAAATTATATTATGAGATACCTCAGAAAATACAAATCCAAAATAATGTAGGAATCAACATCTGTGGCCCTGACTGGTGTGGCTCAGTTGGTCGGGCATTGTCCTGAAAAGGGAAAAGTTGCTGGTTCTATTCCACGTCAGGGCACGTACCCGGGTTGCGGGTTTGGTCCCCAGTCAGGACATGATACAAGAGGCAACTGATTGGTGTTTCTCATGTCAATATTTCTCTCCCTCTTTCTCCTTTCCTTCCTCTCTCTCTTTCCCTAAATAAATAAATAAAATCTAAAAAAAGAAAACCCCAGCATGTTAAACATAATCATTAGTTGTGTACATCTGGGAATTGATGCTTCTCTTTTTTAAAGATTTTATTTATTTATTTTTAGAGACGGGAAGGGAGGGAGAATGAGAGAAACATCAGTGTGTGGCTGCTTCTCACGTGGCCCCCACTGGGGACCTGGCCCACAACCCAGGCATGTACCCTGACTGGGGATTGAACTGGCGACTCTCTGGTTTGCAGCCTGTACTCAATCCACTGAGCTGCACCAGCCAGGGCTGAATTGATGGTTCTTGAAACAGGCATTGTTTTATAAAAGATTCGATCAGTTTATGGCAATTTTAATGGATGTTTAAGGAATTTGCCAGTGTCATCAATTTGCATAATGGGAGAAGAGATTATTCCAAAATTCCTCTGATTAAAAAAAAAAAAAGAAAAAGTAAAGGTTGTTTATATGGTCCCCAGAATGACATCCATTAATATGAATATGTTACCCATTATCAAGTAGTACAAAAGGTCTTTGGAGATTAAAGATTAAGTTCTACAGGCAACGGTGTTTTTCTTCATTGAATTTATTAGGGTGACCCTGGTTAACAAAATTTTACAGGTTTCAGATGCACAATTCCATAACATCTCATCTGTATACTGTATTGTGTGTTCACCACCCCAAGTTGTCTTCCATCATATATATTCCCCCTATACCCTCCTCTACTTCCCCCACTCTCCCCCTCACACACTGCAATCACCATACTGTTGTCTGTATCCATGAGTTTGTTTTCTTTTTTGCTCACACACTCCAGCCCCCCCAACTATTCCTCCACAGCTATCAGCCTGCTACCTATGAGTCTGTCTCTATTTTGATTGTTAGTTCATTTTCTTTATTAGATTCCACTTATGAGTGAAATTATATGGTATTTGTCTTTCTCTGACTGGCTTATTTTACTTAGACTAATGCTCTCCAATTCCATCCATGCTGTTGCAAAGGGTAAGATTTCCTTCTTTTTATGGCCAAGTAGTATTCCATTATGTAAATGCACATCTCTTTACCCATCTACCAGACAACAATGTTTTCATTGTCATTTAAGTACGTGAAACATTTCATTGAACTCAGTGAATGTGGGGACTAATAAGATGTTAAAATTGGTAAAAGGGAGAATTTGAAGAACAGACATACAGGTAATTAGAAATGTGTAATATAATTTGCTAATAGATATAAGACTGGCATAAAACCTATAGGGCAATAAAATCTAAAGTGGTCATCTTTTCCACAGAGCAGAAATAAGTTGTAGTTCATGGTTCATTTACATTACTCTCAGTCTTCTACAATTTAACTTCTAACATTACAGAGTTGTATAACAGCCTAGCCAATCACAGGTATATTCCCCTTCAGAAAATACCCAGAGAACCCATTAGACAATACCTAGCACTTCACTAAAACATTGTTCAAGCCCTGACTAGTGTGGCTCAGTGGGTTGGGTGTCGCCCCACAAACCAAGACATTGATGGTTTGATTCCTGGTCAGGGAACATGCCTGAGTTGTTGGTCAGGTCACTGTCTCTCTCCCTCTTTTTCTCCCCCTCCCCCCCTCTCTAAAAATCAAAAATCTTTTTTATAAAATAAAAGGCTACTCAGTAATTTCTTTTATCCATTTGTAAGTCTTTGACAATGTTTCTTGAAAGTCTCTTCCCTATGATCACAATCTGCCAAGATTATTTTTGACTGCAAAAAGGCAGGTTTGACCTATTGACCTAGATACAGCAAGAATGTTAATTGTGTAAGTCTTCTTGTATTAACTTTGCAAATCCAGAAACAGGATTAACTTCTGTCTGAAAATTTTCATAAGGATACTTGAATTAGACATTTAAAGCCTCCCAAATTTGCTATCTGAAGGCTAGGGAAGCAAGTCCAATAAACTCTTCACCAGATTTCTCCAGTAGTACCCAACAATTTAGGTGAATTTCTCTCCTCAGCTTCTCCAAATTTTACTAAGGTTCTTGGCTTGCCAAGAAGTTCGTTGTAAAACATACCCTGTAAGTCATGTACCATTTCAGTTTTACTGGAACAGTTTTTTAGGCATTGATCTTATATATAAACTTAGTTTATTAATACTGGGCTAGACATAGCTGATTAAATGAGAATTATTCTCAAATATGATTTCTGTTACACAGTTTCTTCCATTATATCCTGGTGAGCAGGAGTACAGATTCCTTTTGAATATTGCCATGAATGTAAGGAGATTCAGTAAATGTGTCTGAATTCTGGAGATTCAGAAACAGATCCCACTTTAAAATTCCAGTTTACAAAGACAGAGTCCACTAAAGAGAAGGTTAGATATAGATTAAGAATTTAAAAGGGCTTCCACACATATCCATAAAAAGAGAACATTACAACTGCATAAACGGTAATCCAAAGTACCCAAAATTAAATTTAATTATTTCCCTCATCGGTTAATTCAGTTCTCTGAAATTGTTCTGGATCTTGGAGCAGTGAACTACTTTTAGGAAGCCATTTGCTATCAGACTGTAGTGTCCTAGAAATCCTGACTCAGTCCACTAGTATAGTGTAAAATTTGTCTAAGCTATTGCAGCTTGGAATTCTGTACCCAACAGGCTTTGTTGAAGAATCTATTGATAGTTCAAAACACCTGATCCTTTCCGTGAGTCTCTGAGACTGCCCTGAATGCACAAACTTGGGCCTATAGCTTACAGCCCAGCATTCTATGTAGCGTCAGGTAAAACAGGAACCACCTGTAGATGACTGCTTTAGTTTAGTGAGCTGTAACAATACCATAGACTGAATGGTGTTTGAACAACAAACATTTAGTTCTTACTGTTCTTAGGGCTAGGAAGTACAAGATCAAAGTTCCAGCCATCTCCTATGCTACAGATTTCTAACTTCTTGTATCCTCTCTTGGCGAAATAAGGTGAGTGAGCTCTCTTGCCTTACCCAAATGGACTGTGCTCATCTGCACGTAGAGAACTTTACAGCCACATCCCGCCGCCCCCTCCCCCCTCCCTTTGATCTCTTTGTTCTGTTCCCCTCTCTCTTCTTATAAAAAACATCTGCCTCCATTGAGAGCTGGAAATGGGCTTTGAGACATTTGTCCTCCCTCTTCCAGGTGTTGTGGAAAATCCACCCACACGCGGGGAGATAATGAAGCACAAACTTTATTACCCGGGGGTCCAGAGGGGGTGGTTAACATCCAAATCCTCTGAGCACCGATCCTCACTCTCCCGGGGTTTAAATAGTCCCGGGCTTCCTACCTATGTGGCAAAGCAAGGTTACAGAAGCCGAATGTGGAAGTTAGGTCCAGCTACCTTATATGGGAGACAGAGAAAACTCAGGAGGAATTTGCAGAAGCTACAGAGCACAGGAGCTTATCATGGGAGTCTGTGTACGACCTTGAGTAACTGGCCGTTGCTTTGGTTACGACTTGTCAGCTTCTACAGTCCTGTGTGAAATTTTGCAAGTGTTACAGTTACAGAGCATAAGAAACCTTTGGAGTTTTCTTTTCCTGCCACATTCCCCCCTTTGATGCTATAAGGTTTTATCCCTTTTAGCGTCACTAATACCTGGCTATAAGGCTGAGGTGTTTGGGAGGGTTACAACTGCTGATACTGGTGTTGGTACCACCGGAGGGCTAGCACTGTGGCGGCTGCCTTAGGAGTCACTGTGGCCCTAGGTGTGGGACTAAGGTCCAGAGGATGCAGGGTCCTATATGCCTGACACCTCCAAGTCTGGTACTTTACGGTCCTGGATGTTACTCCAGTCCGGTATATCTTCCCTCCCCAAGTGCAGAGGAATTGCTGTGACTGAATGCAACCCGATGGCATGTCAGTGGAGGAGCTGAAAGCTGACCCTGGGAGATAGTAAGAGACCACTACCGCTGAGCATAATCCTATGCCTGGGGGTACTACATTTGCAGGCTGGGGCTGAGACAGGGGCCGCATTTGTTAAGCAAAGCATACAATAAATCCAAATACAGAGATCAAACAGAGACAAACTATTTCTAGGGTTATTACAGAACAGACAAGGAGGGCCTGGGACAATATACTATTATTGAAAGAAGGCCCTGGGTCCATTATGTCCACCGCCAGAGGAAAGACGTCTCTCAATGCCAGAGATTCGTGAAAAGGAAATGTTTATTTAATGCTATACTAACTTAAAGTAGTGACCTAATGTCTTTATCAAAAATCCCAAAGTCCCCCAAAACACCCACAAACACACACAGTCCTTCCTTCCTTCCCCCTTTGCCCAGTCCAGAGTACCGTATCTCAGGAAAGGAAATAGAAGTCCATGGCTCAGGCAGTCCTCTGGTTCTTAGTTAGTCCTCCATCTCGACTGGGAGACCTCCCTGGGTTCCCAGCACCCTCGGCTGAGTCGCCAGGATCTCTGCTAAAACCAGGTGGTGGTTCCCCTTCTAAAGCTGTGGGGGTCCCCACTCTGTCCAGGCCTCGTGGTTCTCCCTCTCAGGGCTGTGGGAAGGGGAGAG